TGGGATTATGGGCATGAGCCCCCACAACTGGCCTTTTTTTTTTTTTTTTTTTTTTTTTTTTGACAGTGTCTTGCTCTGTTGCCCAGACTGGAGTGCATGGCACAATCTCGGCTAACTGCAATCTCTGCCACCCAGGTTGCTGTCCCCCCATTTTTTTTTTTTTGCCTTTGTTCATTATCACAGATGAGCCCTGCTACCATAACCACTGCGTTAGTGCTGGGTCAGAACATCTGGGTTCTATGACTTGGAAGCATCTATTTCCAGATGTTGAAGATAAAAGTGCAAAGGGGGCTTGCAGCCCTTGAGAAACAGGGGTCACCTGACTGGGGCTTAGCGGTTAGGGTGGTGGTTTTCTTTTTTTGTTTCTTTTTTTTTTTTTGAGATGGGGTCTTGCTGTCTTGTCCAGGCTGGAGTGCAGTGGTACAATCTTGGCTCACTGCAGCCTTCACCTGCTGGGCTCATGCAATCTTCCCGCTTCAGCCTCCTGAGTAGCTGGGACCACAGTCACATGCCACCAAGCCTGGCTAATTTTCTGATGTTTCTGTAGAGACAAGGTTTTGCTGTTACCCAGGCTGGCCTGAAACTCCTGGGCTCAAGCAATCCTCCTTCCTTAGCCTCCCAAATTGCTGGGATTACAGGCATGAGCCACCTCACATAGTTGGGTTAGGGGTTTTGTCAAGATTTTCAGTTGACACTGCTGAGATTGAGGCAGATTCTCTCATTTCATGGAGAGGAAGCCAGAAAGAGGCAGAAAGCAAGCTGGCAGAGCAGTCACAGACAGCCCTAGGACTGGAAGAGCCAGGATTTCCCACTTGAGTATCCTGAAGGAAAAGATTTATCATCCAGGTGCATTAATAATAGCATTCCCTGGCCGGGCGCTTGGGATTCAAAGTGTAGTCCCAGCACTTTGGGAGGCTGAGGCAGGCAGATCACTTGTGGTCAGGAGTTTGAGACCAGCCTGGCCAACATGGTGAAACCTTGTTTCTACTAAAAATACAAAAATTAGCCAGGCATGGTGGCTCACGCTGGTAGTCCCAGCTACCTGGGAGGCTGAGGCTGAAGAATCGCTTAAACTTGGGCAGTGGAGGTTGCAGTGGGCTGAGATCGTGCCACTGCACTCTGGCCTGGGTGACAGAGTGAGACCCCATCTCAAAAATAAAAATAATAATAATAGCACACCCCTTCACTGAGTTTTGAGTGTCCTGATTTGGCAATAAATTCTATGGTCATTCCTATCTATGCTCCACCCCTGAAATAGGGAATCCTTCTTTTCTTTCCCCGGATTAGAGCGAAGATAAAGAACTTAGATTCAGAACTTAGTGACAATACTTCTATAAACTGGCTGTGTGACCCTTGAGAAGTCATTCCATTTCTATTAAAAAATGAACAGCAGGGCCAGGTGCTGTGGCTCATGCCTGTAATCCAGCACTTTTGGAGGCCGAGGCATGTGGATCAGGAGTTCGAGACTAGCCTGACTAACATGGTGAAATCCCATCTCTACTAAATTAGCCAGCCGTGATGGTGCGTGCCTGTAATCCCAGCTACTCAGGAGGCTGAGGCAGAATTGCTTGAACCCAGGAGGCAGAGGTTGCAGTGAGCCAAGATCGCGCCACTGTACTCCAGCCTGGGCAACAGAGCAACACTCTGTCTCAAAAAAAAAAAAAAAAAAAAGTTACCAGCTGGTTGACTTTAGCCTTTCCGACTCTAATTCTATAAATAAGTTAGTAAAGTCACAGGGCAGGGGCTTCCTAGGAGTAAAGTACCACAGAATGACCGCGTCACCATTTGTGAATGCAAGGAACACAAACAGGCTGATTGAAACCTGATCTCCTGCCGTCTGGAAGCTGGGAATCCCTCAGCCTATTACCTCCTTCCATCTCCTCCTGGCTTTTAAATTAAATCTTATTCCATAGCGACATTCTACACTTTATTTATTTATTTACACGCTGCCCTGTTCCAGAAAGGATTTAACTTGGCTTATTCTATAGTTAGCCACAAGTAGACTCCTTAATTTAAAAAAGAAGTGAGAGAGACCAGGAAGAGATAGACCTACTGGCCTACCTGGAGCACATCCGCATCTCACTGTATCAGCCCCAAGCTAATACACGCTACCAGCTTTGAGGGGAAACCACCCACCTGACCCCAAGAGGCACTAGTTTGCACACCCCGGCTTCACAGGCCACTGCATCACCACCTCCTTGGCTGCTGCCTTTTCTCTTTTAACCACCAAGTAGAAAAATGCCCTAATGGAGTACTTCTTCCTGAAAGCAGGACTTGCCTTTTAGTGGTGCCAAGGCTCCCTGGGTGACCGTAGATTTTGGATTTGTGCAAGCCTTGACTTGAAAGGTCTTTTGCGCTTTGTGCCTCTTGTCTTCTCATCTGTGAGATGAGAGCCCTGTCCACCTTTAAGTCACACAGATTAATAAGTACATCTGCGGAAGCACCTTGGAAAAGATGCATAGGAGTCTGTGACCTCCAAGCTCCAGCTGACTGTTTGAAGCTGGAGCCCGTCAGAGCTCAGCCCAGTCCACCCACCCCCAGACTAGGTCAGACCATCAAAAGCAATGGAAGCTTGACACTGATTATCCAGCTATATAAAAGAAGAAGAAAGGAAGAAGAAGAAGAAGAAAGAAGAAACAAGAAGGAAACTAGGCGCAGTGCCTCATGCCCGTAATCCCAGCACTTTGGGAGGCCAAAGCAGTTGGATCAGAAGGTCAGGAGTTCGAGACCAGCCTGGCCAATGTGGTGAAACCCTGCCTCTACTAAAAATACTAAAATTGGCCAGGTGTGGTGGCCTGTGCCTATAATCCCAGCATTTTGGGAGGACAAGGTGGGTGGATCACTTACAGTTGATAGTTGGCAGCCAGCCTGGCTAACGTGGTGAAACCCCGCCTCTACTAAAAATACTAAAATTAGCCGGGCGTAGTGGCAGGCGCCTGTAATCCCAGCTGCTCAGGAGGCTGAGGTTGCAGTGAGCCAAGATTGTGCCACTGCACTCCAGCCTGGGCAACAGAGCAAGACTCTTTCTCAAAAAAAAAAAAAAAAAAAAGAAAAGAAAAGGAAAAAGAAAAAGCGAAGAATTGCTGCAGTTAGTCAGCTGGAAATGGGCGGGCAAACCTGGGGAACTAGCTAATGCCTGCCTGGCTGTGCCACCCCTCGGATCTGTGTGTTTATCCAAGCCTACAGAAGAGGGTGGGGAAGGGGAGCTGGGGAGACCAAGTCACTGCAAACCGTAGCATCCTTCCCAGGGGGAGCTCAAGGATAGGGGTTTGGGCCCCAATGAAGAAGGGAAATCAGGTTCCAGGGTATGTGCATTGGGGTAGAAAACTAGCAGCAATTGGTGGGCGTGGGGTTGTTGAAATATCGGCAGGTTGGGGAGGGGATAGCTGGTAGACAGATGGGAAGATGTGGAGAGAGCGGTCTTGACGGGTTTTCATAGGGAAAAAAGGTTACTGGAGGGGAGGGTCTTCACGGTGAGGGGAGAAGGGAGTTGGGGAAGAGGTCTCCACAGGGAAAATAGAAAATGGCTGGGATTTCCCCCGGGGAAAATGGGAAGGGGCTGCAGAGTGGGGTCTTCAGAGGGAAAAAGGGAGATGGGAGTATCTCACTATAGGAAAGTGTCTAAGTGGGCAAAAATCGGTGGGTGGCTGAAACAGGGGTCTTGCCACAGGGAAGCCACGGTGGCTGAAGATCTCCATGGGTTAAGAAATGGAGGCCGAGAAGGTCTCTCCATGAAAATGGTACCTCGGAAGAGCTCCAAAGAAAAAAGATGGATGAGGCTCCTCACGCTGGAAATGGGGCTTGGGCGGGGGGCATTAATCTCTATGGGGAGGTCGGGGCGGGCAGTGGCGAAGGAGATCACTGGGATGTCCGAGTTGGCTAGCGGAAAGCCTCCACCCGGGAGGTCAAGGCGGGCAGTGGGGGAGGAAGTCCCGGGGAGGTCCGAGTTGGCTGGTGGCTGCGGGGGGGGGGGGTCTCCAGCCGGACATCGGGTTGACTGGCGGTCTGGGGGAGATCGCGGTTGACGGAGAGGGAGGACGAGGGGTTTCATGGGGGAGATCAAGTTGGCCATGGGAGCAGTTTTCCGCGGGGAGGCCGGGGTCGGCCCGGGGGTGGGGATTACCCGCACAAGCCCAGCCTCACCGTCCGCCAGGGCTTCACTGCACTCGAAGCTGATCTCGAACCGGAAGGGGCTGTAGAAAGGGCTCGGGTTCTCCAGTACCGCCACATTCAACACGGACACCTTGGCCATCGCCTCGACTCACCGCGCCGCAGCAGGGACAGGGACAGGGGAAGGGGCAGGGGCTGTGACCGAGGCCGCGTCTGGGTCCGGTGGCGGGATCAACGGGGTAGTGTTGACAGAGCCCGCTCCAGTCTCTTCTCTCCGCAGACAGAAGTGCGCACCTCGTACGCGCGCCGCCTTCAAATAGGCGGCCTCCGCCCTCTGACCAATCACCGCCAACGCTCCCTGGCGGCGCGCGCACCCTCTCAGCCAATCCTGGAGCGCCGCTCGGCGCGCGCCCAGACTCCTCGGACCAATCAGTGGAGCTCCCTCTCCACGGAGCGTGAGGAGGGCGGGACCACCTCCAGTCTTCTTAGTGTGTCCTCTGGGAACCAATCCCCAGCGTCTCCGACTAGGAGGTCAACGGCAGGAGTGGACGGAGTCAGAGCGCCGGCCTCCTGCTGTCCAATCCTGAGGGTTCCCGTACCGGCGTGGCCCGCCTCTCGCCTCGCTATTCCGGGATATGTATCCAGTAGCGCGCAGCGCCGCCAACCGCCGAGCGGTGGCGCGCGGCGCTCGCTGAAGACGGCGGGAAGGGCGGTGCTCGCACCCTCAGTGATTGGCAGGAGGGAGTGGGGCGGAGATAAAGAGGGTTTTTTGAGAGTTGATTGGCTGGATTGGTAATGAAAGCGGGAGCCTAAGGAGGCTCAGCTGGGGATTCGCTGGAGAGAAGCGGAAGTCGGGCGTCACCGCAGTGCTGGGGAGTGTGAAGCGAGAGGAGGAGCGTTTGTGGCCTCAGCGTCTGTCAACAGGTGAGCGTTGGCTGGAGCTTTTCTGAGTGGCTGGCTCCTGACCTCGAGGTGCAGCGGCCCGGGTGTCCGTTGTGAACGTTGTGAATGTTCGGAGTGGCAGTCACGCGGCGCGCTCGGACCTCGGGAGTCCGGCCGAGTTTGGATCCCGCTCTTGCCCCCGAGGGGTTGGAAGCCCTTTCACGCCCCCTGGTGGGCTCTTGGGAGGTTTCAAGCGGACGGTACTGAAAATGGGAGTTCCAGTTAGGGGACAGACCAGGGTTCGAGTCGGTGCTCTGCTATTCAGCGCTCGAGGCAGCGTCTTCCCATTGAACGGCGCCGTGGAAATTCCCTGTCATGACTCATGACCACATAATACATCCAGAAACTTCTCTCCGCCGCATCCCCCCTGGGCCGTCGGCCCCGGCTTGGGAGACTCCAGGTTGCGGAGTCTCTGCCCCACGGGAAATCAGCGCTGCCCAGTGGAAAAATAATGCCTGCCGCGCACCTAATTTTACATTTTTTGGAAGCCACTTAAACAACAACAACAACAACAAAAAAAAAAAACGGAGTATCGCTGTGTGGCCCAGGCTGGAGTGCAGTGGCTCGATCTTAGCTCACTGCAACCTCCACCTCCCGGGTTCAAGCGACTCTCCTGCCTCAGCCACCCCGGAGTAGTTGGGATTACACCACCATGCCTTGGTAATTTTTGTTTTTTAGTAGAGACGGAGTTTCTCCATGTTGGTCAGACTGGTCTCGAACCCCTGACCTCAAGTGATCCGCCCGCCTCAGCCTCCCAAAGTGCAGGAATTACAGGCGTGAGCCACAGCTCTGAGCCAGTAACACACAGTATGTTGCATTCTTTTACCCAGTGAAAAAACATTCAGATTCCTTGTGTGTTGTACACTCAACCGCACATCTGTCATCGGGCATGTGAATACATTTTCTTCGAAAATAGTCGATCAGGTTTCTTAGGTTTCATAAGGTTTGCAGTTGAAAATGTAGATTCACACATTCCTACTATTCTCAACGTACTTCGGAGTCTTCCATGAGCTCAATTTTTTTTTTTTTTTTTTTTTTTTTTAATTGAGATGGAGTCTCACTCACCCAGGCTGAAGTGCAGTGGTGCGATCTCGACGCACTGCAACCTCCACCTCCCGGCTTCAAGCGATTCTCCTGCCTGTGTCCTGACTAGCTGGGATTACAGGCGTGCACCACCACAACCAGCTAATTTGTGTTTGTGTATTTTTAGTAGAGACAGGGTTTCACCATGTTGGCCGGGCTGGTCTTGAACTCCTGACCTCAAGTGATCCGCCCACCTTGGCCTTCCAGAGTGCTGGGATTACAGGCGTGAGCCACTGCACCCGGCCATATCTTTTTCTTTTTTTTATTTAAATTTTACTTTGTTTAAAAATGAAATTTTAGAGTCTGGGCATGGAGGATTTCTTGAGGCCAAGAGTTCAAGATCAGCATGGGCAACATAAAAGAATCAGCCAGGTGTGATAGTGCACACTTGTACTCTGCTACCTATGAAACTGAGGCAGGAGGATCACTTGAGCCCAGGATGTTTAGCCACTGCACTCCAGCCTGCGTGTCAGAGTGAGACCCTGTCTCTAAAAATTAAAATTAAATTAAAAAAAAAAAAAAAAGTTCAGGGGGCCAGATGCAGTGGCCCACACCTGTAATCCCTGCACTTTGGGAGGCTGAGGCAGGTGGATCACAAGGTCAGGAGATCAAAGCCATCCTGGCCAACATAGTGAAACCCCATGTCTACTAAAAATACAAAAAAAATTAGCTGGGGGTGGTGGTGCATGCCTGTAGTTCCAGCTACTCGGGAGGCTGAGGCAGGAGAATTGTGTGAAACCGGAAAACGGAAGTTGCAGTGAGCCAGGATCGTGCTACTGCATTCCAGCCTCGTGATAGAGACAGACTGTCTCCAAAAAGAAAAGAACAGTTTAGTTGTCTTGATAGCCACCGTTGGGTGCTCTTGAGCCCCTGTGACAAGTGGCTACTGTATTACTGGACAGCGGAGGTGTCCAGTAATAATCAAAACACATTTGATCAGGTCATTTCTCAGGATGAAAACGCTGTCTTCCAAACTCTCTATGCTTGTCTCCTGTTAACCACCCAGCTCCAACTTCAGTCCAGCCTAAGTAACGGTTACTCTTATTAAAAATCCAACAAGCCGCCAGGTGTGGAGGTTCACACCTGTAATCCCAGCACTTTGGGAGGCCAAGGTGGGCAAGGCAGGTGGATCACGAAGTCAGACGTTGGAGACCAGCTTGGCCAACATGGTGAAACCCTGTCTTTACTTAAAAAAAAAAAAAAAAAAAAAATTAGCTGGGTGTGGTGGCGTGTGCCTGTAATCCCAGCTACTCAGGAGGCTGAGGCAGGAGAATGGCATGAACCTGGGAGGCGGAGGTTGCAGTGAGCCAAGATTGTGCCACCGCACTCCAGCTGGGCAACAGAGCGAGGCTTTGTCTCAAAAAAATCCAACAAGCCACTCCCAGCACAAAGCTTCTGCCCAGAACATCTTCTCCTGGACTCTTGGCATGGCTTATGCCTTCTTGTCATTCAAGTCTCGGTTCAGTTGTCCTCTCCCTAGAGAGGCCTTTTTAAGGGTGCCCTGGACAGTGTTCACACTCATAGGCCGTAAGCCTGAATAGCTCTGACCCAAGCCACTAGCATTTCTTCCCCAGACACCTCTGTGGGCTCACTAGGACTCACTAACTATGCTAGGCAAATGTTTTCTTTTTAAAGAATCTAGTTCCCGTGGGATTTTTTTTTTTTTTTTTTTTTGAGGTGGAGTTTCGCTCTTATTGCCGAGGCTGTAGTGCAATGGTGCGATCTCGGCCCACCACAACCTCTGCCTCCCAGGTTCAAGCAATTCTCCTGCCTACTACTCGAGCTACTCTCTCGAGTAGCTGGGATTACAGGCATGTGCCACCACTCCTGGCTAATTTGGTGTTTTTAATAGAGATGGGGTTTCTCCATGTTGGTCAGGCTAGTCTCGAACTCCTGCCCTCAGGTTATGGGCCCCCTTAGCCTCCCAAAGTGCTGGAATCACAGGCGTGCGCCACCATGTCTGGCCCCCCCCCTTCTTTTTTTTTTTTTTTTTTTTTTTTTAAATAGAGCTCTGTTGCCCAGGGTGGAGTGCAAGTGGTGGCATGATTGTGGCTCACTGTAACCTCCCACCTCAGCCTCCTGAGCAGCTGGAACTACCAGTGCATGCCCCCATGCCTGACTAATTTGTTTTACTTCTTTTTTTTTTTTTTTTTTTTTTTTCTTTTGTGAGGGAGTCTTGCTCTGTCACCCAGGCTGGAGTGCAGTGCTTCGATCTTGGCTCACTGCAACCTCCTGCTCCTGGCTTCAAGTGATTCTCCCATCTCAGCCTCCCAAGTAGCTGGGACTACAGGCACATGCTACCTTGCCCAACTAATTTTTGTATTTTTAGTAAACATGGATTTTGCCATGTTAGCCAGGCTGGTCTCAAACTCTTGACCTCAGGTGATCTGCTCACCTTGGTCTCCCAAAGTACTGGGATTACAGGTGTGAGCCCCTGTGCCTGGCCTGTTTTAAAATGTTTTGTAGAGACAGGGTCTTGCTGTTGCCCAGGCTGGTCTTGAACTCCTGGCCTCAAGCAGTCCTCCTGTTTTGGCCTTAAGTGCTGAGATTACAGCGCCTAACCCATTTTTTTGGTATCTTCATCTCACATTAAGTTAAAAAAAGTTTTTTTCAAGTTGTTAAAAAAATTGAAAGTTTTTTTTATTCTTTTGGAATTATTTGGCTTCAGGGAAACTCACAGTTATGATTCACTTGATTTCTTGGCATTCATTGCATACTTGGGGATATTTGTGATTTGAGAAAATCTAATTTCCAAATGTAATTCGATTGCTTATGAATACTGAATTTAATGATTAATGCAGTTGTCAGGATGTTACATTTTCAAGGTGCTTAATTAAACATTTATTCATTCCAACTTTGTAGTTTTCTCTTGGCATTGTGGAACTTTTTTTCCTTTATCCCTGTCCCCGACCTTTTCCTAGCCCCTGAGAAGCTCATGAGCCACAAGCATTATTTCCGTGGTGCTAATGAAGAAAGTGGCCCTGTCTGTGATGCATTCTCTATACAGCTGGCTGAATGATCTTCACTTGTAAACCAGATCATGTCATTACTCTGCTTAAAACCTTCAAAGGCTTATCCTACTTAGAATGAAACCTAAGATCTTTCCTATGGCTTAGGAGGCCCTTGGTGGTGGCCTCAGCTGACCTCTCAGGCCTTGTCTACCATTCTTCCTCTTGTCACCGCTCTCAAGCCCTGCTGGCTTTATTTCCCTTCTTTCAACACACCAGCTTGTTCCTGCAGCAGGGCTTTGCACCGGCCGTTCCCTCTGCCTGGAATGTGCATCCTCCAGATAATTGCATGGCTGCCTCACTCTCTTCACTTGTAGTTCAGTTCAAATGTCCTCTGAGAGAAGCCTTCCCAAAGTACCCTATTTAAAGTAGCCCTTTCTTGGCCGGGTGCGGTGGCTCATGCCTGTAACCCCAGCACTTTGGGAGGCCGAGATGGACATATCACCTGAGTGTGAACCCAGGAGGCAGAGGCTGCAGGAGTTCAAGACCAGCCTGGCCAATATGGCAAAACCCCATCTCTACTAAAAATATAAAAATTAGCCAGGTGTGGTGGCATACGCCTGTAGTCCCAGCTACTTGGGAGGCTGAGGCTTGAACCTGGGAAGTGGAGGTTACATTAAGCTGAGATGGTGCCATTGTACTCCAGCCTGGGCAACAAGAGTGAAACTCCGTCTCAAAATAATAAATAAATAAAGTAGCCCTTTCTTAATCACATCACCCAGTTTTATGATCTTAGTAACACATCAGAATTTGTACTTATTTTTGGGTGTGCATGGTGGCTCACACCTGTAATCCCAGCACTTTCAGAGGCCAAGGTGGCCTGTTACTTGAGGTCAGGATTTCCAGACTAGCCTGGCCAACATTGCAAAACCCCATCTCTACTAAAAAAAA